AGGTACGTAAGTGCATGTATTATTAGCCTTGTTTTCACGGTTACAATCGGATTTCTACTTTTATACCCGATTTCGCTTCAGAAAGAATATAATTGCAACTACGCGTATGAAAGTAGAATCCAATCCAATTGTATGTAACCGTGAAAATAAAGTTGCTCCTTTCTACACGTGGGGAGCTGCACATGTTGGAAACCGGGCCCAACGTCCCTCATAACCTCAAATTCCGGGTCCCAGAATCGGGCCCCCGGGACTGGGTACAACCACAAGATGGCGCGGGAGAAAGGCAGGTCGGAATTGAAGCTCGAACGGCGTTTGAGATCCAGATGCCACATGGGCGTTTCCCTGAGCTCACACGCAAGAAAATTCGTGTCGCGCCCGCGCACGGATGGCACGCTCAAATCAAGCGGGCGGTAAGGCAACTTGATTTTTCAAACCTCCACAGTTACCGCCATCCGCCAAACCTGCACATTTACCGCCATCCGCCAAACCTCCACAGTTACCGACCGCCATCCCGCTCTGCGAGATAACAACGGCGCCCGTGCGGATGCTGCAATTTTTCAAACGTGTCGCCTCACACGAGCGCGGGTGACGTTAGAACTGGCGCCACAATGTGAAAAAAAAAAAGGAAGGAAGTGGCGCCACAACCAACTGGCGGACGATTGACAGTGGAAGTGGCGGGAGAGTGAAGTGAGTTGTGAAAGTTTTCATTCGAAGGGGTTTTGAGGGGTGGGATTTTGGCGCGACGAAATCCAGTGCAGGATCGGAGGATCCGTGGCAATGATTCACGAGCTGTTGTTGGCGTTGATGGGACACACCGGGGATGTCTTCATCGACACAGAAGAGCAGGCTCGGGCGCTCGGCGCGGGAAATCGAGGAGTGGGGTCTGCCGCTATGGGAGCAGCGCGATCGCCGACGGCAGAGAGTGAAGACACCGGTGATGATGGCGTCGATCTGCCGTCTAAGCTCCTCGACGCGGAGAATATCTTTCAACTTTCACCGGATTTTACATTCGTAGGAGAGTCCGAGAGGTAGGTGTGTTGTAGTTGATCATCTGGGGCTTCTTTGCCCCCTTCGAACCTTTCCCCCCCCCTTCTCGTTTTTCTCCTCCTTCCCGCCGCCGCCCCGCCCTTCTGTTCCCCGTCCCTCTTTCTCGATCTCCGCCCTCCGCATCTTCCCCTCCTTTCCCCAGCCCTGCCTCCCCCCGCTCTTCTTCTCCCCGCCCTTCTTCTCTCCATCCTTCTTTCCCCCGCTTCTTCTTCCCCCCGCCCTTTCATTCCCCCGATCTCTCTTTCTCGATTTCCGTATCTACGGACGATATCACGGATTAAGAGATTCTGGCCGTTGATCTTTGCTATCTACGGACGATATCATTGATTCCGCTGATCCGCGTTCATGTTCTAATCTTCCTCCTTGTGGTCTTCCTTTCCCGGGGCAACGTCCCACTTGCAGGGATTAAGAGATTCTGGCCGTTGATCTTTGCTATCTACGGTCAATATCGCTTAATTCGTGTAAGTGGGACCGAGCCCTCGGATCTCCATCTCTGTGATCCGTCTTCTTGCATTATGTTTCATATGCTGAATTGCTGACTCATTACTATATGTCAATTACGTTAATTTTAGAAGTAGTTAACAGCGATATGGGAAGACAAAGTGCACGGGAACTACAGTCAGACTGGTAATAAAAAATAAGATCGTCCTTTCCCGAATCTCCTTACGCGCCAAGAACTTCATGGTCCGTCTGTTCGTTCGATGCCGCCATCACGCAAGGAAGTAAAAAAAGAAGAGGCACCCAGGAAAAAAGACTAAGGAAAATACTAGTAAAACGTGGAAAAAAAAAGAAAGAGAAGAAAGCAAGAACAATAAGGGAAAGGGAGAAGCGAAAGTAAGGAAAAAAGAGCAAGGAGAAAGAAGAGCAAGAACGGAAAGAAAATAGACTATTAGATTTTCGCTACAGCCAGACAGTAATTACATATTAAATTTACTACGTAGTATATCGTCAAACGGAACTGCCCGGTAAAACTTGAAGGCAGGCAGAGAGGGAGGGAGGGAGAAGAGGACAACAAACGAGGGGCTGTGACAAACTGTTTGTCAGGCACTGTTATCCCCTTGGTCACAAGAGGGCATTCGCTCTCTGCGCGAATGCACAAGTAGTTATGGGTCCGTACCTCTGGCCCTCAGGCCCTTCCCGTGCATGCACGGAATCGAACGGGCACCGTTGGCCACATGAGGGCATTCCCTCTGTCATCTTATTTCTTTATTTATTGTTCCCCCCCGCCCCCTCGCCCCCGGAAAAAAAGAAAAAACGAAATAAGTGGATTCCACTGCTTTTTTTTTTTTCTTTCTGTTCCACGCATTCGAGCTCACATCTCATACCCCTCTCTCTCTGTCTCTGTCTCTGTCTCTCCCCCTCCGTCTCCCCCCCCCCCCCCCCCCCCCCCCCCCCTGCTGGACTTCTTCTCGCCATCCCCCACCCCCCTGTCGGACTTCTCCCTCTATTCAGA